ACCAGGAGGAGGCAGCTTTGAGGGCAATGCTGAACGCCTGGATGTTATCCTCTAAAATTCCCCTGCGTGACCATGGAGCTGGGGTACAGGAAGGCATTGCAGACACTACCTCCGCAGACCCAACCGAAGTTGAAAGACACAGTTGCCCAGGGAAGGGCAATGAGCCGACGAGGGATGACCTGATCTCTCCGAGGCTTTGCTCTGCAAGCAAAGCCCTCCCTGCAGCAGAGGAAGAGCGCCCCCTAGTGCCAAGCCCCTTCGTAACGGGGAGGACCAAGTCCAGACAGAGCCGCTGTTTCCTCAGGACCAACAGCAGCTCCAGTGCCTCCCCTTCATCCTCCTCCCTTTTTGACGACACCTTACCCATACCTGTGCGGCTTTGTCGCCGCAACCCCAAGAGGCACGACGATAGCGCAGCTGCCAAAGGCGGCCCCAGGTCTTGTTCTGTGACTGATGGGAAAGAGGACAGTCTCCTAGTCGCTGCACTTCAAAGCACCCAAGATTGTCAGACCAACACTCCAGTGGGTGAAGGAAATCCGAGCAGTTTGGATCGAGGGGTCAGTCAGGCAGACACTGTGATTCTCTCGGGCAGTCTTGCGGACACTGTGATTCTCTCGGGCAGTCTTGTGGACACTGTGATTCTTGGAAAGAGCACTAATGGCTGTTCATCGGGTCCTCAGGAGGAGACGGCTCCTGAAGTGCTTCCAGGGGCAGAGGATTTCATGACTGATGATCTCTCGAGTTCAGGTGGAGAGGGGGTCAAGTCAGGACTCGGTCGGGATGGATGGTGGGTAGCAGATGAACGTCCGCGTCCTACAGAGAGGTGTCAAAGGCAGCAGTCTTGCATGACTGGTGACCTGGATTCCAGCAACCCTCAAGTGAAGCATACTTCGTCAACAGAGAAGCAGATGGCGTTTTTGTCCAGTCACAAATCCCCAGAGACGCAGAGGAGGGCACCATTAACACCAGGCTCTGGTTACATCCCCAGGTACAGCATCAGTCGGCTCTCTGCGCGTCACCAAGCTGAGAGACTGGCGGATCTCTCCTATACTCCAGGGGGGCGGCCCCTGATGGTTGATGCAGATGAGCCCATAGAGTACCTCTACACTGATACAGAGCAGGGCCACACGTTGATAGAGTGCCATGTGCCTCCTACAGCCAACAGCACCCTAATCTCCAGTGAGGCCGAGTGCGATACAACCACCAGTGAAGACACGGTGTTATACAACTGGAGATCCTTTCAGGCCAGCCCAACCAAGGATAAGGAGAACCGCCTGCCCCAAAACGAGGTCTCCGCTGAGATTCGTGGGCTGTCGGACAGAGAGCTTCGCCGCAGGCTCAAAGAACTGGGAGAGGACCCTGGTCCCATCAATAAAACCACCCGACCTCTGTATTTGCAGCAGCTGAACCGTTTGAAGAGTGACAGCTATGTGAGGCAACCCAAGAATAACCCAGGTAAGATCTCAGTTATATTTCTTTTTCAGGCAAGTAAATACTGTATTTTAAGTGCAATAGACACATTTTTATTTGCTATTTATTCGTGGGGAAATCTGCAGCTTTCCTATAAAAAGCTGCAGGAGGTCCAAAATTCAGAAAATTACGTTATTTTTGTGTTTTTCAAATGTCGTCATTGCACAACCAAAACTATTAAAGCCACTTATGTAATGGGTCTTTTTTCCCATTGTGTGTAAATAATGCGTGGGTCTGCCAATTAATGCTCACGTATATTTGCAGGCTACAGCCAAGAGCTGGCCGTCAGCCTGCACACCTTCCAGCTGCCTGAGTGCCATGCAGATGAACTGGCCCTCTGTCAGCAGTTCGACCAGCCTGACCAGAACAGGAAGTGGCGAGAGGGGGTGGTCAAGTCCAGTTTCAATTACTTGCTGCTGGACCCGAGGTTAGTGTGCTTTTGGGGTGGCTCGTTCATTTATCCGAGCTAGCTGATTTGAAGACCAAAAGTATTTCCTCTTTCTCTGGGTATAGACAAGAATGCTCGTTTCTGATGCTAACAGACGTCACGGATAAACAATCGCTTGATCATTTCATTGATTTGGGCTCCACTCTTATCGTTTCCTGACCTCTCCTCTTCAGGTCACTGCAGAAGGCTTGTGTTGCACCCGTGTGAGTTAATGACCTCTTGTAGCTCTTCTGGAACAAATGGGTTTTCTTCCAGATCTGTTGAATTGACAGAAGCAAAGAGCTTGTGTCTTCCTGCCCCAACCCCCCCAGATAAGCAGTATTTTACAGCTATCAGAGGCACGGTTTGTTTTGTAAGGAGGCAGGGAGGATCGTCTGTCTGGGCTAGCATTGTTGAGCACAGACAGCTCTGCAGGCCTTGTTCTTAAGAGTATTAAACCATGGTGTCTCCTCAGCGGCCATCACTGTAAAGGAGAGGTGTAATAATAATTAATAACTTCTTACACTTATATAGCATTTTTTCTGGATACTTTACTCAAAGCGCTTTACAGGTAATGGGGACTCCCCTCCACCACCACCAATGTGCAGCATCCACCTGGATGATGCGACGGCAGCCATAGTGCGCCAGAACGCTCGCCACACATCAGCTGCATGTGCTCCTGCTCCATTTGCACGCTGCAGCTCCACACGAGCCCTGACTCCTCCCCTTCCTGTCAGGGTGACGAAGAACCTGCCGGCACGCAGCCCCTCGCTGAGCCCCGCGGAGTGCTTCCGGGTCTTCGTCAGCGCCATCTTCTACGTGGGCAAGGGCAAGCGCTCCCGGCCCTACAGCCACCTGTACGAGGCGCTGGATTACTACAGGGGAGACAAGACGTCCAAGGTGAGACCCGCGCAGCTCTTCGAAACGGAAGCACCAGCGAGCAGCTCCACCGCCGTAAATGATCCTGTTCTGACTTGGAAGTTTGTAGCAGAGCACTGGCTTTGTCCAAGGTGAAAGAAACCGTGCAAACCTCTTTGTGTTGCGTTTTGTAGAACTTTTGATGCCTTTCAAATTGCCAGTTGTTTATCAGCACATACCCATCCTCTTCGGAAATGACGATTGTCTTTGTCTCGGCTCACAGCCAGGAGCCCCGAGGAAGTTCAGACAGACTCCTAGTTCAGCCTGATTGTGTTACTGAGATGATTTAAGCAGCCTGATCTCTGCAGGATGTTTTTCTTGCGCATTCTAATTCTACGTTAATGACTGGTTAATGCTCACTTTGTCATGCTAATGACCATTACCCTTTTAATTTGAGGAAAATATATCTGTGTGCTTTCCAGACTGCCCTCTCCAGCCATGTCAATTTTGGGGGTGGGGGGAATGGGGTAAATTGTGTGCCACAGATCGCGATATCTTTGTGATAGCCGAGTCTCGACGGCTCCCGGCTTCCTGTTTCGCTCCTGCAGAAGCTTTGCTCCAAGGTGCAGCACATCCTCCAGGTCTGGGCCACCGGGCAGGGCGTGATCTCCCTGCACTGCTTCCAGAACGTCATCCCAGTGGAGGCTTATACCCGCGAGGCCTGCATGGTGGACGCCATCGGTGAGGGAGGCCGTTTTCCTGCCTTTCGTCCGCTGCGCACAGTGTTTCGAAATCTTTCCCCACGTGAATTTAACTGGCCAAGCTGAAGTCCTTGGTGCCTCTGGTTTTCAGTGTTTAAGTTTAGTCATGTTGCATCCCTTTAAACTGATTCTAAAGCAGTCTGTTTTGGCAGGAGTTGTGATTTAGAAGCATTCAGTCATAATCCCACATTTGTAATGCTATAAAGATATCTATTTGTCCATATACTGTAGACATGAGACATGCTTTTATAAAGCATTTTACACACTCACCCTGGCCATATTCCATCATTATGCACTGTTTGGTTTCTCCTTCAGGTAGAATGAAATGTTAGAACAAATGTTCTGTTAATACTTCCTTTATAAATAATTTTGATGTTCCAGTTTGCAGATGTTCTTTGCGATTGCTGCACAGGAAGTATGATTCCCCTCCCTCCTCCTCTATTTCCTTTCCCATGGTGCCGGTTCTGAGAGCTCTGTCCTCTGTGCCAGGGTTGAAGATGCTGACCAATCAGAAGCGGGGAGACTATTATGGGGTGGTGGCGACGTGGCCCATGAAACGCAGGCGTGACCTGGGCGTGCGCCTGCTGCACCGCACCATGCAGATCTTCCTGGCCGAGGGCGAGAGGCAGCTGCGCCCCGCCGATCTCCGCGTGGGCAGGTGAGCATCTGGGGCGGGGTGGGGGGGGGCACACCTGGCGAGCCGGAGTCTCCCATACCCCCCCTTCCCCCCCAGCCTCTGCCTGCAGGAAGACACCTGGATTGCTGGGGCCTGAGTCAGCGTTGCTGAAAATTAATGAACAGGGGAGAGCAGGTATCTGTCTGACCCCCCCAGGACACCCCCTGCTACCTTGCTGACACCTGGCTGAGATGAGCACTTATCTGTAACCTGGTGAAGTCAGAGGGATGGTAGAGTCAGAGAGCATTGAATTTGGGAAATGAATGAAGGGTGTACTGAAAAAAAATACTTTCTCAACTTCAAAAGCACTGTGTGGCTGATGATGATGATGATATCCTGGAATCATCCGTTTTTAATAGACTGATCAACACAGACCTAGGATTTAACGGTGCTGACTTGTTCTGGATACTAGCTGTTTCGTTGAGCCATGAAGTGTATAAGCATTATGAAACTGGACTTTTCTCTTTTATTTTTCTTAGTACATGTGCTGTTATGCTTTTCTCTAGTGATGTTCATATTGGGGGGAAAAAAAAATCAAAACTGAGCTGTGTTGTTGGTTCATTTTTCGACACACCAGCACACAGAATGAGAATATATGCTTTATTTCACTGCTGGAAATGGCACTATTGCACGTCACATTGTATAATGAGTTGTCTTTTGTTCTTAAACTGCTGGCAGAGCCAGCATATCTTTAAACGCAAGTGTTTTGAAGACAGTCTTTATGATTAGCTGCTACCAACATTTACATTTTTTAACCACATGGAGGTGCCACACTGTGGTACTGATCGATTGTAAAGGTTAAGACACTGGCTCCCAGTCCTGGTCCTGGTGACCCACACACCTGTTGGTTTTAGTTCAGTTACACTGTTGGTTCAGTCACACAATCAAACTCCACATTGTCTTAATAATGAGGTTAATCTGAACTGTTTGTTTCCATCTCTTAAACATGGTAGAGCTTTAAATGTTGTTTTGTAAGTGAAATAAAATCCCAAGCTTGTGATCAGAAACAAAATGCATCTATTCCGATGAAGCAACTTTTTAGACCCATTAAGTCTGTGGCTATCTAATTAAGGTGGGATGGAATGAAAACCAGCAGGTGTTTGGGTCACCAGGATTGGGAAACACTGGGTTAAGGAGAAGCAGAGGTGTGCACTGTACATGGATCTGATCAAGATTGTCTCTTTAAAACACCCAGTTTAACCAATAAAGGAACCAGCAGGTTTTCAGGTCCTTTTCGTTCTGGATTCTGACGAATCGTGTCCACAGTTTTCCGTGATTGAGCTGCTGCTGGTTTTAAAAGTCATGATTATTACACAGTGATGCAAAACAGTCCTTGGAAGCAGGATGTGACAAGACTTTAAAACTTAATTTTCAATTGTAACAATTTGTAATACCTAGTGTTCTCATCTCGTATCGCTGTTAGACAGCTTGTGATGTTATATAAAATGTTGCCATATGTCAAAAGAGCATTTCTTGTACATGAAGTGGGATCTAGTTTAGGAGGGGGAATCTTGACAGTAGATTGTAGGCCTTGTTTTTTTAATCTTGAGTTATGGATTGCAATAATTAATGAACAGGTCAAAATTGACCAATTGTCCCTTTTTATGTTCTACAATTTCTGAATGGAGTTAAACTTTGTAAAAAATGTCCTTTCGTGACCTAAAGTGCTGTGTTTTGTTAATATTACTATGGGCAATGTTTTTTTTATAGGCTTGAAACATTCAAGAAGAAAATAATTTTGGTGGGAGGTCATTATATCAATTTTGGACCGAAGGTCCATAACGATACTGCTCACGCCACCCAGGATCAGACTTTTAACTATGCAATGAACAGCTTGTGCTTCCTCCTTACTAAAACAGTCACAATTTCTCATTATGAGACAATATATTGTGAGGACTCACTAGTTAAATCGGAGCTCCTTGAACCCACTTTGTAAGTATACATTGGGCTGATGAAATATTCCATATAAAACCCATCCTTGATAGAAGACCAGATAACCTTACAACAGTAGGAAGTGAGGTGGTTCAGATTTTACAGATTTTTCAAATCTAATTGTTCAAATTGGAATCTAGGGATCTACTGATTCCTAATGAGATGCACGGATTACAGTTCAATCTTGTCTGAAGAAAAAAATTTCTTTTTCAGGCTGTTGATGTTGCCAGTCAGAAGGCTTCAGAATGTTGACTGGAACATGCATTTAGTGTAGAATTAAAGCCCAGCCGATTAAACTTGTTTTTACAAAAGAAGCCACAGAGATCCTTAACTGGCCATGTCTGTCAGATAGTTAATTGAATACAGTACACTCACAGATGTTGAGCCTTATGCCATTTTTTATGGCAGTAATGTGAGAATTTTAAAATTCACTTCCTGTTTTAAATTAAATATTCTTTTGAAATATGAATTGCCGTTTCAACCATCAGCATAATTCCCTAATTTATTTTGCTTAATTTTTCTCTCAGCTGTATCTTTTGATTGTCAATATATTGGATCTCCTAAACACTTATTGCTGATTCCACTGTACCACAAAAATCCACAGCATTGTTTAGTTGTTTAAATACAGCTTTGTGAACCTTTGGACCAGGGACAAGCTACCTATTCTAGCTGCTTTTGGCTAAATCAGTCCATTCAGAATCGTGTAACCCATCCCAAGTCATCAACTCCTACTGCACTGAGCCTAAATGCTGTGCTTTATACTCTTTGTGAAGGTCTCTGTAGGGGAGAAGATGGAAATCTGTCAATGAAATGCTGATCACACCTCAAAGGGACACTGTTTTGAAGTGTAGCTTTGGTTAATTCGTGTTGTAATATGACGTATTGCTTTCACTAGTCTAAAAGTACACTGTAGCTTGAAGAAACCCAGGTGGCTGTCTACACGTCTGTGAAGCATGGCAGAGTTGTTTATCCTCACTGGCTGCTTGAATAACAGTCTAAAGGACAGGAGGGGCTCCTGAAAGAACTCACTGCCCGCTGCCTGTCCGTAATGGAAGTTAGAGGAGCTACAGGATACATGGAGGTAAAAGCAAAGCTATATACAGTACAGTACACTGACATTGCTTAACACAATGATCCATTATAAGACACACACAAGGGACACCAGAAATTAATCTACATGCACAAGGTTGGGCTTGCCCAGGCAGGTTCAGTCCTGTACAGAAAGCAGGTGTTTTCCCTGCAAGTGCATAGAATTTCCTTAAGGAGTTAAATGAATTTGGTACATAAGGACTTGTGTATGTATTACTGTGAATTGTTTTTTTTGTATGGCGACAAAGTTACCTTGAATTTTGGATACAGTGAGTATGTTCGGCAAGGTGCCCAAATGTTAGTAGTAGATGCTTTGGTTGTTTGGCAGTTGAAGTGGGAAAGAGTTATACTTAGAAAACAAAATGAAAGACCTGTCACATAATCCAGCAGGAGTGGCCATTCCATTTATCTGGTTATTAAAAAATAATTGGTACAGGGACTGACACTTTTTTGTCATTAGTGGGTGGTTAGGGAAACGTTATTAGGATAGCAGTCTTGAGATAAAAGGTTTAGAGGGTTTTTTCTGGAGAAGGAACTATAACTCGGTCTCGTTAAATAATGTTCAAGTAGATAGTGTTTCTAGTGTCCCCTGTAGGATTACATATGTGGTTATTATATATATTTTTAATATAAAACATCTTGAACCACAAACCTGGCACAAACAACACAGATTTTTTTTTTACGAATATTTTTAGCTTCTCGTTTTTGCAAAGCTCTTCCGTTTCAGGAACAAGCCGAGGAGGAAAGATCTGCTTGTCTCTTATTTCTGCATCAACACACTTGACTCTTCGTCAGCAATGCCTTTCCAAGCCCCACGTGGACCATGTGCATTCACAGGTTAATGCATTGAGGCAAATTTAACTCTTTTCCTGTTTCTGCTGTGCAGTATTTGTTACCCAGGTTGATTGTCGGACAATTGAATTTGGAACAGTGATGATGACTTTCCCCATGGCACCGATCTTTGGGTATTTTTATAGCTCGAGGGTCTCAAGTCCAGTCTTCTGTTTCTGGACTTCAGCTAGTTTTCTGCCTAGCCTTAAGTCCTTAGTAGGTCTTTACTAAAGAGGAGTTTTAAAGTGATCCAGTTAGGATTCAACCTGGATCAGTGTACCCCTTATTCACAGCCTTCAGCTGTTCATTTCAAGAGACAGAAAATGAATCGCAGCTCACGGACCCTCTGATCTTGGGTTGTGAGCCCCCTGTTCTACCTTGAACTAGTGTCTTGTGAAAGTCGCAAGTGTCAGTGATCTCCATGGGAAGAATTTATTTTAAATAGTGTTTAGAACTTTACACCTTGAATTCAAGGCTGTTATCGAAACTTTCTGCACTGTTCCTTTCAATTAGAAAACGACACGGACTGAGGTTAAGACATACGCGTGCCTAGTCATCGAGTCACTGAAATCCATTCTGACATTGAAAAGGGTGCAGAATTAGGGTGGGCTGGCTGGCTTAGCTAGTGGTTTATCAGCAACGGGTGTGGGGCAGTAGAGATTAACTTACTGTTCCCGAGCAATAAGTAGTTTATTTGCTGTGTGCTGGGCAGGATTGTGTTTTCTTAAGAGCAGGCAGGGTGGCCTGAGTAGTTGGATTGGTCTGTCTCCTGTTCTGCTAATAATAATAAAAAAATAGACAAACATATTTGACAATATTCAACGTATTGACATGTGCCTTCCTTCTTGCATGTTGTGAGACTGCTGCTTTTGGGGGTGGGGATGGAGTATTAGTAAGCTGTGTAACCTGCAGAAGAAAACATTTATAAGCCAACAGAAGAGGTCACATCTGCCCCTTTGATCTGGCCCTTTGTAAAACTACATACACCTGTTTAATATAGCGGAGGTGATTGTATTTCCTCTTCACAGAGGAGAGGCCCGAAAAAAAGCTAAACTTGTTCGCCGATGACTTGGAAAATATCAGCATGGTCCTTAAGGACAGCAGTCCTTCTATTTGAACTCTAGTTCACTCTGGAAGGAAAGACATGATCCAGTGGCAAAAAAAGGTCTTTGGGATGTGTGGTATAGAACAAGCAAACCATCATCTCCATAGCTGCCTTGACTTTTACCATTCCTAATTTCCTCCGATTCTCGCAAGTTCCTCCTTTCTTTGCTGAGCACTTCAAGGTCCAGATGCCTGGTCCAGCTCAAGCTTGGAGCCCCTAGTGGCCCCCTTGCCTCCTTAAAAATAGCTTTCAGCCTGTGGGAAGACAGTGCCCACTGCAGCCAGCCTTGGGACAAGCCTTTGAATTGGTTCACTTTGGTTGCAAAAAAAAGGCTCCCATTGGTTACTTGTTCTGTTTCTGGCTCTCTGGAGGGGGTGGGTTCTTGTCGGTGGTGGGAGGAGACGTGTTGTCCAGGGGTGGGGTATTGTCCTGGCTGGGCGGGGATTCACTGGGAGGGAGATCGGGCTCCCACAGGAAGAACTCGTGCAGAAGGGTGTTGACAGTCTCGGGACACTCCATCATCACCATGTGACTGCCCTCATCGATCACCTTCAGGAAAGCGATCAGGAGGATCTGCAAGGGACAGTGAGGCAGGTGAGTGAAAATACAGCCAGTCTGCTGCATGTCTTTAGTTTTCAGAGAGCAACAAAGTAAAACTCAAAAGAATTTAACAATGACACGAGAACCCCAAAAGATTCCTTTTCCAAACATTGCTTCCATTGCAAAATACAGAACCCTGTTCATAATATTCACTTTGTTTAATGACATTCAATATTTTATTGTGTGAATGCAAGACCATCTGCTAAAGCATTTATAAACTACGGCTTGCTAAACTCAGTGTCTGATGTACTGTATAAGAAGGGATATTGTAATCTTATTTTAACCTTGGTTTTACATGTGGTTTGACAACCACAGCACATAGAATATTGGCCATTCATGTCTTATGAACCATGATTCCAAAACTGTTTGATGAAGCGTATGTTAGAAATCTCATACACAAATGGCACATGGTTTCCTACCTCTGCCATGCGCTGATCCTCCTCAATGGGCACAAACTTGTCATGCATGCCATGCACCAACAGGATGGGCACAGTGAGCTCAGCATGGTAAACCTCGTCGCCCTCCGGCCAGTACTGCCCACTCATCATGGCCCGCAGCACGAAAGATGAAACGTTGAAGGCATTGCCCTCCTTGAGCAGCTGTTTCTCCTTGGCACCTTGACGGGCAAACCCCGCTCTGAAACAGAGCAACACCTTGTATTCTTCGCCAGTCTCAGTCATTTGCTTTGCCTGGGGGGCCTCATCTTTACGGAAAAGGTACACGTATTTTTCCTTTTATCTAGATCAGTGGTTCCCAGGCCTGTTTCTGGTGACTCACACACCTGTTGGTTTTAATTTAAGGACAGGCTCTTAGATACACAATCAAACCCTTCATTGACTTAATAAGTTGGAGCTTTAACTGTTGTATTCTGTAAGTGCAATAAAATCCCAAAAGTGTGACTAGAAGCAAAATGTAAATATTCAGATGAAGTAACATCTTACATCACATAAAGCTTCAATTACCTAATTAAGGATGATTGCATTGAAAACCAGTGGGTGTGTGGTCACCAGGACCAGAACTGGGAATCCAGGTGGAACAAATGGGACGGATTTGTCTCTTACTTCAGGAAGCTCCAGGCCAAGCACGGGGACAGGCAGTGGAGTACGCAGGTGGGGAGGTTGAAGATGGAGCACAGGCTGGGCTCCAGCGCTGTGGGCCCTCCCCCGTTGATCATCACCACCTTGTGGACCTGCTCTGGATACTCATGGGCCAGGAAGGTGCAGAACGACACCCTGGAACAAGATCGACAAAGTCGTAAGGAGCATCCTAAAAAAAGCTGGTGTAAATCGAGAAGATGGGAAGACTCTTAGAAGAGCAGATTTTCTCTCAGCAGTATCTTACACACGTGACAGTACACATAAATCCAACACCGTGAGGCACACGCGGCCCATCGACACACTAACCCATAGGAGTGTCCAATGAGGATGTTTCGGCGGCGGGCGTAGCGCTTGAAGAGGGTGCGCATGTCCTCGGCCAGCGCGTAGAAGGTGTAGGCGGCAGCAATCTGGGGCGCAGAGCTGGCCCCGTGGCCCGCGAGATCGGGGGCAATGACCTCGTACCCCAGGCGGGAGAAGAAGTCTAGCTGGCTGCCCCAGATGTCCAGCGAGCCGCCCACGCCGTGGATGAAGAACAGCGCCACGTCCGCGTGCGTGCCCTTGCAGCTGGAGATCTTGCGCTCGCAGTCGATCGCCACCGTTCGCTTGGGCTTGCGCCGGCGCCGCCGCTGCGGCCCGGGGGTGGTGGCGGCGGCGGCGGCGGCGGCTTTGGGCTCGGGGGCGAGGGCGGAGGTGGCGGCGCTGTTGTAGTCGGAGAGCTCCACCTCCACGGTGCTGCTGGGCTCAGTGTTGCCGTTCTGGCAGTGCAGGATCTCGGAGCGCACAACGTCGCCCAGGTTCTCGATGACCAGCTGCCCGTTGCGGTAGACGGTGATCTTGCGCTTGCAGTGCACGCGGCCTCCCCGCCCGGGCTCCGGCGCGGACAGCTCCTCCTCCGGGACGGGCCCCCTCTCTGGGACAATGTGCCTGACCCTCAGCACCCTCCCCGGCTTGACCTCCACAAACTCGTAGCCGTCGCTGGGCTCCGAGCTCTCGATGGGCACCACCACATTGGCGGACTTCCCGGTCAGGCAGCAGAGGATCCCTTCGGTGATGCTCGTCAGCATGGTGTGCACCTGCAAACACAGGCATTTCCTCGCTCAAGACACTTTAACCCAGCCGGCTTTGAGCTACTGAAACCACCGGGGAGAACGGTAGAAGATGCGTTTTCTGTACTTAAGCGGAACTGCAGTCCCAATTTCTCAGACCCGTTATTAAATCCCGGTAACAAAAATTAATTAGCATTGAAAAAAATCACCAATTCCTAATTAAGCCCAACAGCGTGAACTTTGTGAATGTACTGTAAGTCACCACGTTGTTGCAAACCCCTGGTTTCGCCACGGGCGAGATTGTGAGTTTGCACCAATCGTGACGTGAAGCGGCCCTTCCTGCTCACTAGTCACGGTCATATGACGCACGAGCAAATAAGTACAAGTTGTGCAGCAGGTATTTCCATGAACACCATGGTTGATATTGAATTTCTGAAAGCAAAACATTGTGACAAAACAGAAGTTGTACTGGTGGGCAGCAAATGTCAGCTGGAAAAGATGGAGAGTTTCACAGCGAGGGTGGATGGCTGTCCCATTCAGGTGTCCAGAATTTCGGAGTTTTATTTGATCCTCTTTTTTTTATTTTAAAAATATTAGCCGCATTAGGCAATTTCTCTCGATGGCTGATGCCGAGTGATTGAGTCATGCATTCATAACATCAAGGCTTGATATCTAGAATTCTACAACTGGACTTCTACCTCACACCAGATATTGGCATCTCATTACTTCTACTCTTAAATCACTTTGTTCGTTGCCTGTAAAGTCACATATTCAATATGGTGGTTTTGTTACTGCTCTGAATAATGGGGCTGCATCACACACTTCTGAACTCCTTCGTGACTGTGTGTTTTCTGTCACTGCTCCCTTTTTATGGAAGGTCCTTCCTAAGACACTTTGATTTTTTAAAATCTAAATTTAAAATTAACGTTTTTACTGGGGACTATGTATGAGTATCTTACAGCTTCTCATAGATTCTCGTTTTATTTTTTATTATGTACAAGGTCCTTGGGTTTAGGATAGTGCTTTATAAATAAGACTGCTTATTACATTAAACCACAATTTAATATATTTAATGCAGGCAGACAGGCACTATTTGCTTGTTTCAATAGTAGATTAGGGAGTGGAAAGGGTTTTTTTCCCCACCACACTCCTTCCTGGGTGTAGCGCACTGTGAATTGTCTACATTAAACTCAGGATGAACTAGACAGCCGTCGGCCAAACATCTAAAGTATTAGCAGATCAGTAATCCATAACAGCACTGTGTCTTTAAATCAGCTCTCAGCACTGTCTTTGCTGGGGGAGGGAGTGAAATGTCTCCACGTAATACAGAGGATTTGGCAGGTAAACAAAGAACTATCCCACTCAACTCCTTCCCAAATTGCAAATGTTTCAAATTTGTTTTGAACAACTGCGTCTACAACCTGAATGTTTCTAAAGGCGCGCAAGCTGCTTTTAGAGCAGATTAAAAGTACGTGCGTCTCCCAGTCCCGTGGAGTGACAGTATTCATCTCTGCTCACTCCCCTGCCCCTCTCATCCCTTCACAAGCAGAGAACTTCCTCTGGGCTGGGAGGAGAGTGACAGTCCTGTCGATTAGACGAGAGCTTTGCAGAGATCCTTATACGGGTTTTTCTGTCTGACCTACAAAGAGAAGCTCAGTCCATTACAAGCTTACAAACGTAATGGGATATATTTAAATAGTGTTAAACTCGTCTGTGGTATTCCAGTGTATATTTGTTCTGGTCCGTGGTATTCATTGTATATTTGTTCTGGTTGGATGCATTTTGTACATAAAGTTGTTCTGTTGTATTTGTGCCTGGATCTGTTCAAACCCATGATTTTAAGCAATACTTAAACAGAATAAGTGCCTGTAATTTTGAACAAGACAAATACAACCACCACTCCATACATACACACTTGCCCCCCTAAAATATTCATTATAATAGAACAAACTACCCAGAAATCAGTTAATCTCCCAGTCCTATTCAGTCTCAGTCCTTATGGATATGCGAAAAGATAATTCCTAATGCAAGAAATTGTAAAGGGTTAATACAGTGATGTTATTATGATGTCACAATTCTCATTTTTATTCCACTGTGCTCTTAACAGCCTTATTGAGTCGAAACTGGAGTTGTTTGATCTTAACTGGAGTCTAGACCCATTAAAGATGCCTGTGCAACCGTCAGAGTGCAGCCCAAGAGGAGACAGAACTTTTTATGCAGAAGGTTTCAAAGCCAGGCTTAGTCTTCAATCAATATTTTATAGCAAGCAGCAAACGTACAGTACAGAACAAAGAACTACTGTCTTTATAGGAAAAATCAGTTTCAAGCGGAATTAATACAACCCTACCCAAATAAGAGCTCTGGCAACTGTGCCAAATAAACTACGTAGATTAATGCCTCATCGTATACCCCAGCAGTCTCAGAATAGTGTTCTATGTCATACGCACTGAATACAGTATGTAGAAATGCCATTTGCGTAACAGATTGGAGGCTGTCAAAGACGTTAGTCATTACATAACATGCTCTGCTCTACGCCTCCATATTTCTTACATATTTTTCCAGTCATTGATGATGTCAAGTTGTTTTCTTTATTTGGTTTTCCTCTTCCAACTCTTTCCTTTCTAAAACATTTACTTCCTTCCTAGAAGAAAACCTCACAGTCCTCCAAGATATGCAATGGTATAACATACATATGTCTACGCTGTATTCAATCACTCTACAAGGTTAGAGGAAAAATATTTTGTTGTGTATATCTAATGTTTACCAGTGTTTAATTTCTGCTTGTGTAAGGAATCATTATATAGCGCTTTTCTGGACACTCCACTCAAAGTGGTTTACAGGTAATGGGGATCCCCTCCACCACCCCCAGTGTGTAGCCCCACCTGGATGATGCGACGACAGCCAGCGTGCTCCAGTATACTCCCCGCACACCAGCGCTCAGTGGGGAGGAGAGCAGAGTGATGAGGTCAGTTCAGAGATGGGGATTATTAGGAGGCATTGATGGGTAAAGGCCAGGGGGAAATTTGGCCAGGACACCAGGGTAACACCCGTACACTTTTTGAGAAATGCCCAGGGATATTATGTACCACTAAAGGATGGATAAATCTGACCACCCAAAAAATTAATTTGCCATCATAAGAGTCTACCTCTTACAAAATAGCACTTCACTTTTTCATAAATTTACAGGCTATAAAGGAAGCATGCAGAAAACTTCAGATGCCAGGTTGGACACAACCAACTCAGTTACTGTTTTTGATCAGATTCAAGCGTGTGCTAATTGTTTTATTCATTACCTGTTTTGGCTGCGTCTCTCCTCGCATCACCCATCTGAATTGCTGGGGTCAGTGTTACTAATGCAGTGCAGAGAGAGGGGCCTGCAGATATGCCAGGCATATGCCTGGACACCTGAAATGCTTTCAAGATGCAGAAACAGACATTACTGTTCAGCAACCCAATCCTCCCACTGGGAGTGAGGGGATATTTTGAAATGCAGAGCCTTGCACTTTGAAGTCCATTATTAAATTGTCAAGTTGTTCAATGGAATCTGTAATTGTACCATGTTGACTTCATTTTTTTCAATTACCTTGACAACAGACAAATGTGCCTCCTGAAGTGTTCAGTTTACATGGCTCTCCATAGGATACTACGACTGGTACAATACTTCTGTCATCCCACATAACTGCTAATTACTGACTGGGTGCTCTGTCAAACTACTTTATTTTTACAGAATGTTCCCAACAGTTCAAGTTCAGAACATCAAGATCCTGAATCCTGATGGGAGAAATTTACCTTGAAGATACCGAGCTCTGGTTTTAAATTTCACTTTATCAGAACAGCAGAATTGTATTTCTGTTACAGATACTACATTATCGCACTTTTTTGTTTAGTGCACAATTGGGATCATTTTCTTTTATCAGTTAGTAGAAAAAAAAGAGCATTTAATATTCAGCACAATATATAGATCTGTACAAATTGAAGAGACACTTGCAAATACTCTACCAATGTCTATTGAGCTTATCTGTCACCAATATACTTGATATTATGTCCGATTAGCCCCTGGAGTCTCTGCTCAGTGGCAGATCAATGACCTCCCCTTAACCCTGTCCCAGCCCAATCTCTGCAATTCAATCAAAACACGTGGCACAGCCTGGATTGGAACTGGTGATCTCCTGGCTGTAGAACAGTGCTACAGGATACAATGAAATCAGGGAGCCTGCTCTATTAGACTGACCAGGTATCAATGGGTATAGAAGGATTTTGCACGGAGGCTCGCACTCAAGACAGATACTAGAGCATCTGAACATGGCTCTCCTTCCCTCTCCTGCACTCTTCCTTTCACTCAGGTGGCCTGAGACACATGCAGGTTCCACCTGGATGGATGCAAGATGTGCAAGTTAATAACTAGTGAGGGTGTAAAGAGCTCCATTCCAAGATTCAGTTACCTTAAAACTAGACTCCGGAGATTTAAACAATCTAGAAATTGAGATGTCCTTTGTGATCACTGGCTGTAGGATAAAGAATGTTTTAAAGAATCCTTTTCTACAACATCACCCTGTGGCATAATCTGGTATTTCTGACTGGAAAGTGTAAGATGTTAGCTGCAGTTTAGACTGGGACAATGTTGGTTCTGTATCCTCTTACAAACCTTTGAACTACCAAAATAAGAACATGAGAACAGCTTCCTCTCTTGTATACCCTTTCAGCTCATCTTGCATTTTTTGGTAGTCCAACTGTTTTTTGAAGGAAGTGAGGGTATTGGCTTTGACAATGTAGACTATGCATATTATCATAGGTTTGCAAAGGTGTTGCTTTGACAACCAGCAACAAGATGCAAACGCACAGTAGACCTGGTTTCTGACCTGATTCAATTCATGCAACTCATTTGATTACAAGACCCTTCCTGTGCATGCCTTTTGTGCCAGATTGTTTGGCCTTTATTCAGGCATATTGCATGGGTAGGCAATGACCAGCTGGTGGTCAGGTTGCAGACATTCAGTAGCAGTCTGTGAATGCTGGAACAGCCTTGC